ACCGCACCATAACCTCGCGGCTTTTATCCAATGCCACTGGCTGAATCAAACTTTGGTGAATTGAGGTCTGGTTACAACCTGAATCCACCAAAGCGTGATACGTATCCCCCTTAATAGTTACAGGTATCTGATACAGCCCAGTCTGATCGGGGGCGGCCTGTGGCACGTAGGGGACCCGGATCAAAGTGTCCACTTCCATTATGGGGCACCGATCAATGAAGTGGCCCGGATCCCCACAGCGCCAACAGGCCGGCCCAGGCCTCCCCGCCACCCCGGTGGTGGGAAGCAGGTCAAGGGACTGGCGTGAGGAGAGCGCGGGACCAGAAGATGGAGGGGCTCCCTCGGGCGGGGGTCCTCCCCGAGGTGGAGCACGCGGCGCCGGGACCGGCTCGGTGCTCGGGCCCGTCCTCCAGCGGGGCGCCGGTCACGGTGGTAGGCCGCCTCGGGACCTGGGAGCAGGGATAGGGCGAGAGAGAGAGGAAGAGGGGAGAGAGGGAGAGAGAGAAGATGGTGAGAGGGGTTCGCCGACCCCCGGGCACGCCACCAGCTGGTCCTCCGCCAACGTGATGGCCTGGTCCAGCGATGTCGGCCGGTGGCACTGGACCAACTGCGCGGTCTTCTTCGGCAGTTTAGCGGTGAACTGTTCCAGCACCACCAGCTCGATGACTCCTTCGACGTCGCGTCCCTCGGCCACCAGCCATTAGCGGCAGGCGTCCCGGAGCTGCTGTGCGAAGACGAAGGGTCGGCCGGTCTCCCCCAGCTCTAGGGACCGGAACCGCTGACGGCTTTGCTCCGGAGACCGACCGACCCGCTGCAGGATGGCACGCTTGAGATCCTTGTAGACCAGGAGGCTGCTGACTGGCAGTTGTTGAGCAGCGAGCTGCGCCTCCCCTGACAGCAACGGGATGAGGCGCATCGGCCAGTCAGCTTCCGGCCATTTCTCAGCCGCGGCCGACCTCTCGAAGAGGTCCAAGAAGGCCTCCGGGTCATCCAGAGGCCCCATCTTGTGCAGGGTTGGGGCCGCAGCTGGGAGCCGGACCCCCTGGTCCACCCAGCTCCGGAACTGCTCGCGGGCTGCCCGTTGTTCCTGGAGGAGCGCGTCGAGACGCCGTTCCTGCTGCTCCTCCATCTTCAACAGGGCCGCCTGGTGTTGTTGATGTAAGCCCGCGAGCGCCTGGATGATCTCCGCAAACAGCATTGACAGAGGGTTTCTGGCAGCGGCCTTTCCTTCCATCCCGGGTTTCGGCACCAGTGTGATGAGGTTCAGGGTGGGTGATGGAAGAAGACACAGGGATCGGCGAATGCTGGAGCTCGTGTGCTTTTTATTAACTGTTGTAATACTCTTTCCACAGCGTCTTAGCGCTCTTTACAATAAAGAAACAAACAGTCACAATCAATCCAACTCTTTCCTGCTGATACACAGCTTTTAGTCCATCACTGACGTGGCACTCTTCCCGCTGATTCACAGCTTCTTTCACTCTCGAACAGCGTTCAATGTCCAGCTCCAGTCCACAAGCAGCACACAAGCTCCAGGCTCTCTCTCAATGCAGCGTCTGCCTGGCCCGCTTAAATACTCTCCCCATGCCAATCACTGAAATTACAGACAGGTGTTTATCATTTGAACTTGACCAGCTTACCTCCCGCTCGACTCCTCCCCCGCTCTCTCCCCGCAGACAGCGCTGAACCACGCCCCCCATGCCACAGTGACATGTTCGGAAGACTTCTCGAACAAAGGTGGGCTGTTACAGCTGTTCTGTCTGACCGAACGGTTACAAGGCTGCAAGATGCCAGAACCCTGGTGATACGAGATGAACACTGGCAAATAATGGAGGAGATTACACCCGTGTTGGAAACTTTAAAATGTGCAACCACCATAATGTCATCAGAAAAGAACGTTCTGCAGTCATCAAGTCTGTTGTTCATCATCAAGTCTAACTCAAACATTAAACATTGTAGGTTAGAAAAAACCTTGGGAGAACCCAGGCTCAGTTGGGGGCCAGTTCTCCTCTGGCCAACGAAAGAACAGTGATTGCAAAACAAAATGGATCGAAACATTAAGAGAATTGTCCATTTCCATCTGTTTGGAAGTCGAAGTAATCACGCCGGTTTGGAGACTAGATGTTAACGATCAGTCCCGGTGGCTGTTAGTGTCGATGAGGCCGGCACTTAAGGATGAGTCGGGATGAGTCCAGGCGCAGGTCCACCATAGAGGGTCCCTCAGGATAAACAGAGAAACCGATATTAGCGTAGACGCCATCCTTCTTATGATGTACTAAGTACATCAGGATTTACGGGACGTGTTCCCGGTTCCAGCTGATCTAAACTATACAGCCTAGTTTGAATTTAGGAAGTCTATAGTGTGTTATGTGTATGCTAGGCCAAATAGATGTGTTTTTAGTCTAGATTTGAACTGACAGAGTGTGTCTGCTTCACGGACAATGTTAGGAAGATTGTTCCAGAGTTTTGGTGCCAAATAGGAAAAGGATCTCCCACCAGCAGTCGATTTTGATATTCTGGGTATTATCAACTGGCCGGAGTTTGGAGATCGCAATAGACGTGAAGGACTATAATGCGATAAGAGCTCGCTCAAGTACTGCAGAGCTAAACTATTTAGTGCTTTATAAGTAATCAGCAATATTTTAAAATTTATACGATGTTTAATAGGCAGCCAATGCAGGGTTAAAAGAACCGGGCTAATATGGTCATCATACTTCCTGGTTCTGGTAAGAACTCGAGCTGCTGCATTTTGGACTAGCTGATGTTTGTTTATTAAGCGTGCAGAGCAACCACCAAGTAGTGCATTAATCTAGCCTTGATGTCATGAACGCATTAATTAATTGTTACGGATTTGTCAATGAGAGCATATGGCGTAATTTAGATATCAGTGATCTGACTCATTTAAAATACAACAGAGAAAACAGGACTGGTAGGAATCTCTTGATATAATCATCTGTAATCAGTAGTGTCGTCAAACGATTAAAATATTTAATCGCGATTAATCGCATTAATGTCATAGTTAACTCGTGATTAATCGCGCATTTTTATCTATTCTAAATGTCTTTTGATTTCTTTTTGTAACATTATTTTTTTCTCATTTTAATGCTCTTATCAACATGGAAAAGACTGGTGCTGCGATGATGTCAGCTCAGTTCACAACGACAAAACACACAGATCACTTGGTCTTGGCAATGGGACAATATGGCAACTTTTTAAAAGTAAACTTTCCATTCAGAATCTTAGGGCATCCATTTCGGCTTCTCGCGCTCATCATCCACTCAAAACGTAACGTTACTATTTGGCCGGCTCGCAAGCCGAAACGAGTGTGTGCGGCACAAAACATCCTCGCGCTGCGCTCTAAAACCCATTCATTTCAATGGCTTGCGCCGCGCGAGGACGTTTTGTTGCTTCTTTGACCAAAGCGCAAGCGGATCTAGAGTCTAGACCGTAAACAAAACAACAGGCACGCCGCAAACACATGTTTTGGCTTGTGAGCCGGCTTTGAGTGCATGAGCGCGAGACGAGTCCTGTTGCAAAAGCATGTGGAAAAACGACAAAGTTTGCTAGGACAAAAAGACTGTTAATCGCGCGATAAAAAAATGAACTCCGTTAAAATCGGTTTGCGTTAACGTTGTTAATAACGAGTTAAACTGACAGCCCTAGTAATCAGTCTACTAAACATTCTCCATTTATATACTATTGCAGTGGAAACCTTGTAGCTAAGCCACATAAGGAAAGAATGTTTATATTGCTGTGAAGTATTTGAATGATGCTTACCAGACAGCTGTTTTTTATAATTATTCTTTCTCTGTTGATGCCCCGGACATGTGATTGTGTTCCTGGTTTTTACCGCGAGAGTTCCGTCGCGGAGCTCCAGGGAATCCCCGTGACGTCAGTCTGATCAGCTGGGTTAATGACTTTTACTTCCGTTTAAAAGAGCCGGGAAAGCGGCGTTCGAGAGCAACGTAAACATTGCTCTTTTGGGACTAGCGATCGATCGCACTACTCCTTGGGTTGTCATTGACTGCGATTGTTGAACTCTTTGTGGAAATATACTTGTGGATTATTTTACCCTGGAGATCGCATCACAGGACAGCGCTGTTCCTCGTCAAGTGCACGGACTTTAAAAGGCTTATCGGTGAGCCCGATTCAACACATACATTTACACTGGATTGGAACACTCACACACTCACTGGACTTATTTCATAGTTTGTATATGTTTATTGTTGGTGCTTTGTACTTAATACACTTTGAGGTATTATAACATCTTGTTTTCTGTTTTGTTTATGGTGTGAGCAAATCGAACAATTTCATTTAAAGAATTTATAGAGGGTTTAAACCGTATATTTTGTGGTGTATCCTGCCTTAATTAGGCTGAGCGTTACATATTGGTGGCCCGTACGGGGACCCCTTATTATTGTTCTTTTTGTCTGTTTTTTTTTTTTTCTCACGATGGAGGTGAGGAATACTGATGCAGTTACCGAAATTGTTGATACTGCTGATGACTTGGTTACATTTGAAAATGTCCCAAATAATACTGAAGCTAAAGATCTTACTTGTATTCCTGTCTCTTTTGGGACTAGACGTAATCCTACTGCTGAAATAACTTCAATGCTTAGTTCATTGTACCTTTCTGATGCAGAACAATCTGATGATGATGATGAGAGTTGTACTCAAACTGTTGATATGGTACAATCATTGCAAGTAGAAATAACTCAATGTAAAGTTGATTTATTGGCCCTTGATAACAAAGTACAAACCATAGAACAAGATTTCAAACAGTCAATGGACAGTACATTAAATCGGGAAACAAGTTTCAGGCAGGCTGTAGATTCTAGCTTGGCAAAGTTGGAAGATTATGTTTCTGATGCTCTGGAAAAATTAGAAAGGGCTGTGACAAATTGTTTTCTGAGGAGAGATGCGAAATGGGAAAGTCAAATGAGAAAATTAAGGCTCACTAGCACTCCCACACTCACCAGATTACAGGCCCATTATCCAGATAACTCCCGATTTTCCACTGTCCTTCAACCACCGACCCCAGCTAGAGTATCTGGAACGAAAATTCCCACTCATACACCCCTCAATGCTACTTATGATGTGCAACATCCTATGTATGATAGGCAATCTAATCTGCTTACCCCTTCAGTAGTGGCAGGTTCATCCTCATTCTGTGCCCGACCTCCTATCCGCATCGAATTCCCCTCTTTTGGTGACTCCTGTGATACGGCGGAGGTGCTCAATTTCATTGAACAATGTGAGAACTTCCTGGAGATTCGGCCCCTCCCCAGTGCAGAACTCTTAGGAACCTTAAGCACGGTGCTGAAGGGACCTGCTCTGAGCTGGTGGAAAGCGGAGAAGGTCAAGGTAACGGATTGGAAATCCTTCAAAGAAGCATTCATGACTGCTTTTCTTTCAGATGATTACCTCTCAGAAGTGGAGGAAAAGTTGAGGACAATGGTTCAACAGCCACAACAACGTCTGAGGGACTTTGCATATGACTACCGGGCCCTATGTCTGAAATGGAAGCCAGATATATCTGAGGAGGACTTAGTAAATCGCATACTCAACAACATCAACCCCAGGGTTGCAGGATGTATGAGGGGAACCGTCAATTCGGTTGAGCAGCTGGTGAAGGTTGGCTGTATGGTGGAAAAGGACCACATGGGAGCCAAAGACTACTGGCAAAAAGTCAGCACTCAAAGCAGTAAAGAAAAGACCAACAAGAAGTCATCTGAACGTACCTCTAACAAAAACCTGGCTGGAGTGACACTAGCACAACCCCATCCACTGTCATCTCTCCTGATGGTGCCTGTAAGAGTGAACGGCAAAGAAGTGAAAGCTGTATTAGACACAGGTAGCACATACACGTTAATGCAAGAAAGCCTGTGGAAACAGTTGAAAGGTGAGATTCCATCAGTTGTTACCTCCACTCCACAGAGGTTTATAATGGCGGACGGCACAGTTCACCAGTCCAGAGATCTGCAAAGGATTAGGATTCAATGGCATGACCAAGAATGCAGTTTGGATACTTATATCCTAAAAGACACTCACCTCGCATTTCCTCTTATTGCCGGGTTGGATTTCCTGAGAGACACGGGAGCAGTCCTGGAAGTGGGACGAGGCAGATATGGATTAAGATCTGAAAAAGGAAACACCTATTACTCTTTCTTGCCATCACAGATGCCAACAGGTCCGGGGATCCCAGAGGGTCAAGATCTTCCTCATAGGGATGCAAAGCTGAATTTATACTATGCGATACCATCCACCGGGAGGCTTCCAGAACTGTTCTCCATTCTCCCTGAGAGCACTATATGGGACTCGGACAATCAGGAGGAGTTGTTGAAGTTGATATTTGCCTGGCCCCGCACCACCTCAAACAACCTGGGTAAGACCTCAATTGTACAACACAGAATCACCTTATCTGATGACATACCCCTCAAATCCCGGGCGTACAGAGTGTCTCCTCTTAAAAAGCAGATTATAGAGGAGCAAGTAGATCAGATGTTGCGAGACAATATCATTGAACCTTCTTTCTCACCATGGTCTTCACCGGTGGTACTTGTCCCCAAACCTGATGGCTCACACAGGTTCTGCGTGGATTATAGGAGGTTGAACAGCAAGACAGTGGCAGACGCTTATCCAATGCCGTTGATCCACGACATCCTTGAATCCCTGGAAGGAGCCTCTTGGTTTAGTTCCTTGGATCTGCAGTCCGGATACTGGCAGGTGGAGATGGAAGAACAGAGTAAGGAAAGAACTGCTTTTATCACCACCAAGGGGCTATTTCAATTCAAGTCTATGCCGTATGGGCTCAGAAATGCCGCTGCTACCTTCCAGCGTCTGATGGAGAGAGTTCTGTCTGATTTAAGAGGGAAGATTTGTTTCGTTTATATTGACGACATCATCATCTATTCAAAGTCAATAGAGCAACACGTTCAACACCTCAACATGGTGCTACATAGACTTGATCAAGCCAACCTGACGTTGAACATGAAGAAATGCCACTTCTTCAAGCGACAGCTCAAATTCCTCGGCCATATAGTATCTGAGAGGGGAGTGGAGATTGACCGAGAAAAGACCAGTGCTGTTGCAGAGTTCCCAATCCCACAAGATATCAAAGCTTTGCAAAGATTTCTGGGATTGGCAGGGTGGTATCATAAGTTTATACCCCATTTCGCTGACATCGCTGCCCCTTTAAACCACCTAAAAAAGAAAGGTGTTAAGTGGGAGTGGACCTCGGAGTGTCAGTCTAGTATGGATGCACTTAAACAAGCTTTGCAAAACTCACCGGTGTTAATACAACCAGACAGCACTAAAGACTTCCAGGTTCACACGGATGCTAGTGAGGTAGGACTGGGCGCCATCCTCACTCAACAATCAGAGGAGGGAGAAAAGGTGGTGGCTTATGCATCACGGACTTTAACTGGAGCAGAGAAGAATTACAGCACTTCTGAAAAGGAATGTCTGGCAGTGGTGTGGGCTGTTGAAAAGTGGAGACATTACCTAGAGGGTAGAGCCTTCAACGTCTTCACTGACCATGCGGCACTAGCTTGGGCATTCAACTGCCCTAAAACCTCTTCACGCCTAACTCGCTGGACTCTACGACTGCAACAGTTCAACTTTCAGGTCCATCATCGAAAAGGCTGCCTCAACATGGGTCCTGACGCTTTGTCCTGGGTCCCAGGTATGCCTGATGCGGATGTTGCCCCTTGTCTATCCATATCCTCCCAACATGCGTCTACATTACCTCACTCTCTGGAGGAAATTACTAAAGCTCAACAATTGGACAATACCATCACTGAATTACAATCTAACATTCAACCTCGATCAGTCAAAGATCAAGCCATCACTTTTGAAAACCTCCAAGGGGTATGGTACCGCAAAGTTCCGATGAAAGAGCAAGGAGAGAAGTATCAGTTGGTAGTACCACTATCATTAACTACTGACTTCATGCACTATTACCATGACAATCCGCTTGGAGGACATCTCGGACAGTTGAAGACTCTGCTGAAGATCTTAGACGTGGCATGGTGGCCGTCTGTTAGAAAGGACGTGTGCCAATACGTCAAAAGCTGTGAGATCTGCCAGAAATATAAACCCAGCAATACAAAACCTTCTGGATTGATGCAGAGTACACAGATCACTGAACCTGGACACACTTTGGGGGTGGATCTAATGGGACCATTCCCTGCCAGTAAACAAAAGAATACGTACCTCCTTGTCATTGTTGATTACTTCACAAAGTGGGTGGAAATGTTCCCGCTGAGAGACAGCAAGACCCAGAAAGTAGTGAAAATTCTACGAGAGGAGATCTTTACACGATGGGGGGTACCCAAATACCTGGTGTCCGATAGAGGTCCCCAATTTACGTCCAGCCTTCTGAGCGATCTGTGTAAAACATGGGGTTGTGTTCAGAAACTCACCACGAGTTATCATCCACAGTCAAACCTAACAGAAAGAATCAACCGGACTGTAAAAACTATGATTGCTGCATATGTGGGTCAACATCATCAGAACTGGGACCAGTGGCTACCAGAATTCCGCTATGCCATCAACACTGCTCAACAAGAAACCACAGGAAAAACTCCTACTGTGCTCATGCTGGGTAGACAAATTCTAGGACCACTGGAACGTCTTATCCATCGACCGCCTTCACCTGATCAAGCAGCATATTCCCTGGTCGAACGACAAAACAACTTAATGGAGGGAGTGAGGAATAGAATGAGGATGAGCCAAGCCAAACAAGCTAGGTATTATAATAACCGTAGGAAAGATGCGCAGTTTCATACGGGTGACCTGGTTTGGATCAAAACCCATCCTCTCTCTAATTCAGCAAACAAATTTTCTGCCAAGCTAGCGCCCAAGTGGGAGGGTCCAGCTGAAATTAAAAGTAAAACAGGGCCAATAAATTACACTGTGTGCTGGGGCAACCCACCTAGAGTCGATATACTGAATGTGGTAAACTTGAAGCGCTATTATGGACGCTCTCCTCCGACGCCGCTGGCTGGGGGGGGGGGAATATGTAGCTAAGCCACATAAGGAAAGAATGTTTATATTGCTGTGAAGTATTTGAATGATGCTTACCAGACAGCTGTTTTTTATAATTATTCTTTCTCTGTTGATGCCCCGGACATGTGATTGTGTTCCTGGTTTTTACCGCGAGAGTTCCGTCGCGGAGCTCCAGGGAATCCCCGTGACGTCAGTCTGATCAGCTGGGTTAATGACTTTTACTTCCGTTTAAAAGAGCCGGGAAAGCGGCGTTCGAGAGCAACGTAAACATTGCTCTTTTGGGACTAGCGATCGATCGCACTACTCCTTGGGTTGTCATTGACTGCGATTGTTGAACTCTTTGTGGAAATATACTTGTGGATTATTTTACCCTGGAGATCGCATCACAGGACAGCGCTGTTCCTCGTCAAGTGCACGGACTTTAAAAGGCTTATCGGTGAGCCCGATTCAACACATACATTTACACTGGATTGGAACACTCACACACTCACTGGACTTATTTCATAGTTTGTATATGTTTATTGTTGGTGCTTTGTACTTAATACACTTTGAGGTATTATAACATCTTGTTTTCTGTTTTGTTTATGGTGTGAGCAAATCGAACAATTTCATTTAAAGAATTTATAGAGGGTTTAAACCGTATATTTTGTGGTGTATCCTGCCTTAATTAGGCTGAGCGTTACAACCTAAATTAAACATTTAATAAATTTGTAATACAACAGGAGGGAGTCTAACCACTAGATTTTCTTCTGATTCATCAGACATGGGTTCTTCTTACGAGGACTTAACCATTACCGTGGAGAAATATTTGCTTACCCGATGTTTCTTCAAAGAGAGATGTCAAAGAAGGCAAATGTTACCTTCTTCTTTATGGATGTTACATGCAGGTAATCCTCATAGTTATATTGCAAATCCAACTCCATGATTAACATATCTTGTTTCTCAGCTTTACAGTGATTTTAGTCATTTTAGATTTCAATTAAAAATGTATCTTTGTTACACTCACATGATGCTGCTCCTGCTTTTTAGGTACTGGCCCTACCTTAAAGTAGCAGAGGGTTTACCAGAGCTTCTGCCATTAACAGAAATGAGGCCATTCCTGAGCGTCATGCATGCCAAAGCCCATACAGCAAAATGCGAGGTACATGCAATAACTTTAAGTCTAGTATGGCTGTAGCTATAGGGAAATAATGGGTTGGATAACAGAACGCGCTGCGTGTTATCTTTCACCAACTGCTTTTCAGCTGCCTGATCAAATTTGTAGGACAGGGATTTTGTTTTTCCCCGCGAAAATAAAAAGCTTGTGTCATGAGATGTTTTAGAGATAATTGTATGCATTAATGAAGATATAACATTCAAGCAATCTTCAATGCAAAGGATTATTTTTACATTTGTGCATGTTATGCCTGATGTTGTATCAAAACTTCTGAAATACTGCTGCATAACACTTCTAACTCTGTGTTGCAGGTGAAATGGGGTGGCAGAAGCCAGGATGGAGCAGGAAACACAGTAGGAGAGGAAGTTGAGCAGGTATGGTATCATTGTCCAGTATTTTAACTGTGGCTACAAAGAGTCTTAATAGAAACCATAACACCAAAAGGTACTTTTTTGACATCTTAGTAACAAGCCTGGTGTGAGGGATAAACTACATCCTTTATGTATGAGTTAAAATAAAAAATGGGCAGTTCAGTTGTTTTCAGCAATTCAAAATGCATGCGTAAGGGGTCCCAAATTCCTAGGATAATACACTACACGTTTTCTGTTAAACCA